GAGGCAGATAGAGAGGAAGAGGCAGACTCCCCGCTGAACAGGGAGCCTGGCATTGGGCTCAATCCCAGGATTTTGAGTTCATGACCTGAGCCAAAGGCAGACACTTAACCCACTGAGCCACCCAGGCGTCCCAGTTTTATTATTATTTTTAAAAATTTATTCATTTATTTTGAGAGAGAGACGACAGGAATGAGTGAGCACAGGGTTGGGGGGGAAGAGAGGGAGTCTCAGGCAGACTCCGTGCTAAGCATGGAACCCAATAGGGGGCTTGATCCCACAACCCTGAGATCATGACCTGAGCCGAAAACACAAGTCGGACACTTAACCGACTAAGCCACCCAGGTGTCCCCAAAGATGACACCTTTAAACTGTGATCTTGCATGTTATTTTAGTTATCTGTTGCTGTATAACAACCCTGAAGCTTAGTAGCTTTTCATGGTCTTATGGGTCAGGAAATCAGGGTTCCGGTGGATGACTGATTTTTCTCTTCCATGTGGTGTTGACAGAAGTCCCCCCAGTATTTAGCTGATGAAGGGGCTAGTCTGGATGTTCTCAGGTCACTCATGTCTGGTACCTTAGCAGGGAGGCTGGAAGGCGGGAGCTCTGAGGTAGCGTGCCCACAGGCCTCTTTAATGTGGTGGCCTCAGAGAAAATGGCAGCTGAGGGCTCCAGGGGTGAGTGCTTCAGCAAATAAGAATCTGCTTGGCCTTTTATAACCTAGCCTTGGAGGTCACAAAGACTCACTCCGCTCTGTTTTATTGGTTCAGTCAGTCATCCAGATTTTAAAAGTAGGGGGACATAGACCTTCTCAGTAAGAGGAATGCCAAGGAATTTGCGGCTGTGCTTTAAAACCACTACACATGTGGAAAAATGAATTAAAAAACAAATTTGCCTTGAACGTTTTACATACACATACGGACTGTGCCACAGTTCGAGGTTGTCAGCATCTGCAAGGAGCGGCTCTGTGTGCGCCTCTCTCCATCTCTGTCCAAAATATGTTCTTCAGATGCTGTGGTTCAAATGAAGCCGTTTTATCTGATTGCTGCATGCGAGGCTGTTCCAGTACCGCTTCCTTTCATATAAGCTCAGTGATGTCGCCTGAGATTGTGCTTCAGTGTATCTTTAAACCTCGGGCTGAGATTCATTTACAGAAAAGAGCAGTGAGGTAGGGAGGGAAGTCATGTCTCCATCTCTTCTTCCTAGTGCTCATGTCTGCTGAACGCCTTCTTGGATCACTTTGAAAGAGGCCTGTTGTGACAGTGGCAAGTGACATTGTGATTCCTTTTCCTTTCAGGTACCTGTTTCCTAGGCAGCTCCTCATCCAACATTTCTGGACCCCAAAGCAACAGATTGATTTCTTAGATATCTATCATGCTCTCCGGAAGCGGTCCCACCCAGAAATCCTTTGTTATTTAGAAAAGGTTATCCCTCTTGTTTCTGACGCAGGACTCCGGGGGCATATGACAGAGCTGTGCACCAAGGTACTCCTCCAACTAACCTTTCCTGCAAACTCCGACTCGTGAGATCCTGTTTGCACTAAAACTAGGAAAAAGGGCCAGGCAGGACCTTCCTAACCTCTGCCAATCTCTCACCTCTCCCAAGATACAGCATGGTACCCACCCAGCAGTACATGACATCCTGGCTCTGAGAGAGTGTTTCTCTAACCATCCTCTGGGCATGAAGCAACTCCGTGCTTTGCAAATGGTGAGCACTTTGAAGCTTTCTGTGTCCCGCAGCCTCACCTTGCCTCAGGTCGTGTGGGTGGTGCTAACTGTGTTGACTTTCTCCTCCTGTGTTGATGTGTTACAGAAAGCCCTGAGTAGAGCCATGCTTCTCACGCCTTACCTGCCTTCTTTCTTGTTGAGACACCGTTTAAAGACTCATACCATCGTAATTCACCAGTTGGACAGAGCTTTGGCAAAGCTGGGGATTGGCCAGCTGACTCCCCAGGAGGTGAAATCGGTAAGAACTTTCTGCGATACCAACCCTCAGTCCTCGGTGGGCTCCTGAGCTCATGGGGCTGGGAGCTTACAGAGAGCTCCCTCTTTTGCTTGTTAGAACAAAGGCCAAACTCTTTATTCTTTCACCTCCTTTCTGTGTCTTTTTCTCAGTGAACTTAACTCATGGAAAAGGAATTGCCCATGTAATTTCAGTCTATATTTCTTTTCCCTGGGCCCTTCAAAAACTGAGGACACGATTCTTTTTTTTTTTTCAAAGATGTTATTTATCTGTTTGGGAGAGAGAGGCAGCACAAGCTGGGGGAGCAGCAGGCAGATCCCAGGACTCTGGGATCATGACCTGAGCGAAAGGCAGATGCTTACCTGCCTGAACCCCCAGGGTGCCCCCGAGGACACTGTTCTTTAGACCTACCATTTTCTGTTATATACACCTCTTTGCTTGTCCTCTTGTGTGTCATAGTTCAGATTGCCGTGGAGAAAGGTTTCTTGTGGCACGAGGTTATAACTTATTTAAAGGAGATTTTGAATTATTTGTGGGTTTACAGTTCACGGGCATATTTGCTATGTGATTATTAAGGACTGTTCCTCTTCTGAGTGATCCAGGCTTGCTATCTTCGTGGCCTGAATTCTACCCATATTGCTGAAGAGAGGTGTCGAGCTTGGCTGGGAGAGTGGCTACAGATTTCCTGCAGCCTGAAAGGTGAGACACATCCCTGTGGTTATGCCACTAAAATCCAAAGTATTTTTCTCCTTGATTCTAAGATTATTTTGGAGTTGATTATTGAGTACCGTGGGACCCTTATTTAACGTATATATCTAAATGAAAGGGCATAAACTCATTTGCCTACAGGGGCTAAGCAGGTAATGAAGTGGACTATGCGAGACAAGAGGGAGTAGTGAGGACTGTGGGAGCCCAAGACAGCACGTGTGCCGGCCGGAAGCAGTTTCTCAGGCCCAGCACTATTGACACTAATGTCCCATGCGTTAGAGGATCTCTGGCACTGTCCTTGGTCTCTACCTATGAGATGCCAGCGGCATCCTCCACACCAGTTCCGACAACCCAGAATGTCTCCAAACATTGCCAGATGTCCAGTGGGGGAGAGGAGAACAGAATCATTGCAGTTGAGGAGCACTAGTCTAAAGGCCTTCAAATTCAGAACAAAAACACTCAGCTGGCTAAATGCAGAGTACCCGAGGGTGGGTATTAGGCCTGTGGGTCTTCTGGTGGAATCTTTGGCTAGGCCTTGATGTTTTCTAAGCCTGTGAATATCAGGCTAGGCCTACTAATCTCCTTGGAGCTGAGAAATGTCCAGAGCACCAGCTTCTACCAGAAGAATCCCAAGGGTGACAGTGGTGTTTAGTAGCATTACCATCTCTGAATTTTCTACCACCACCCCTTCAGAGTCAAGAAATGAGGCTGAGTAGAAAGGAGTGACTGGTGGAAGGAAAGGAAAGCGTACATGCAGGGACTGGAACAAAGCCGGGGAACTTTGAGAGCAGTAGCCTCTTGACGTCACACCTCTGCACTCGGCTTCCCGCCTCTAGTATCCAGCCCTGTTCACCAAGGCAGTTAGAAGGCTACCTGTCCCCTGGCCAGGCTATTAACACTGATGGTGTTTGCAGAAGCTGAGCTGTCCCTCTTACTACACAACGTGGTCCTGCTTTCTGTCAACTACACTGGGACAGGGCGCTGAGTGAACCTGGAGCGGATGGCCTTGTCCTGCAGTCACAGAGGACAGCCGCGTGGTACCAGGCAGCACTGGTCGGCAGGGGGGCTGTGTGCGCCCTTAGGCATGTGGAAGGCAGAGGAGTAGGTACTGCTGGCTTCCCTGCGTGGTGCCCGTGTGGGAGCTGGAACTGAAAGGAACCCTCTTCCCAGAGGGGGCCCGAGTGCGCCATCATCCCAACTTCCTCAGAATCAGCCGGAGCTGCCAGTGGCCTCTGTCCTGGCCTTTCCTTGTGAGGTTTTAAGTTCAGGTCCTAGGAAGTGAGCTCTTTCCTCATTTGGCCGAGGGCTTGACCACTGCTGTATTCCTTACAGCTGTGTTTTCGTTCCGGTTTCTGGCTGGCGAGGGCAATGGCACTGTTGAAATCGGCGCATTTACATCTATGCGTGTACTTCTGTGCTGCCCTCAATGCTTCTTGTGATGACCAAAAATAGCCTTTTTTTTTTTTTGTCCCCTCACTGCACTGGGTTAACCACTCCCTTTCCTTTCCAAATCCTTGAACACTTTTTTTACCCCCAAGCAAATAGTTATTCATATATGGGAACTAATGGAAAAGATAAAAGGAAATGCAAGTGCTTCTTGCCCGTTCTCCGCCCCCTTATCTGTTTCTGGGCTGTGGGGCAGCCGCTAAGGATCTTCAGCTCTGCTGCCTCCACTGTGCTATAACAGACAGTGGCCTCTTCCCTGGGCCATGAATTAAACCTCGAAGGTTCTAGGCACTGCCCCACTTTGGAGACCAGGAGAGGCCTGCTTTGTGAGCAAGTTGGGTTTAGCTTTTGTCTGTGTAACTTATTGTAAATGCATGAAGCACTGTTTTAAAGCCAAGTAAAGATTGCCTGAAACCAGTTGCTGCAAATGACTTATGCATACTCTAATTTTTTTGCTAAAGCTCCTTTGACAAGACTGACAAAACCTAACTAATGGGGGAGGGAGGTGGTTGGAATAGAAGCTTCTGGTGGGATGGAAGTTCTGAGGGAACTGATTCGACATCAGTGCTCTTTGATTTTAAGATGGTCCCAAGGAAGAGGGAATTTGGGATTAACAAATGAGCCCCCAAAGTAGGGACTATAGGCAGGGGAAAGCTCCAGCAGGGCAGGATCAGGGCCTACTTTAGCTGAAGAGGTACATAAAGGCATATGATGCAAGTCAAGCTCTTGATGCTCCAAAGAGAATGTTCTATTTTTCCACCATAATGTTGTTAACATTAATCTCTAACTGACCTAATTAGTTTTATAGATGATGCTAGAGAAACACCCTTTCTCTAACAATTAACAAGACTGCCAAGATAAAGAATAACACACTGTTCTTTTGAATATTTCTTTAATATTACATTTAAATATTCTCTTTAAATACAGCATTATCACAATGTAAAGGACCTAAAAGGAAAAAAAAATCTTTTCAGAGACCCAGACAAGCTTTGGATTCACATTGAAAATACTACCTGTGTACAGGATGTGAGAAAGGAAACTGGAAAATGAGTTGCAATAATGAGATTTCTTTTATCTAGGCCTAGACTGAGCAGGACCGAGGCCATCTGCTCCTGTGATCAGAGGCCTAGGCTTAGCTTTTCAAGCAACCATGAGCTAGAATTCTGTCCAGCTCAGGTAGCACCAGAAATGAGATGGACTAGGTTGTAGAAAAGGCCCTTTGCTTGACAAGATGATTAATGCTCAATGTTAATATTCAGCATTAAAAAACTTGGGATCAGCATGAGTCAGAATTGTTGAGTTAATGGAGGGATGGACTTGGATGAAAAAACTAGTTTTTCAGATATCGTTTCTTGGCCTTTCGGCTAAGATCAGGTGAAGAAACTAGTTTTTCAGAAAAACCAATTATCTTGGGGGTTGGCCATCAGTTTGACAATTAGATTTAGATTGTTGGTTTGATCCCAAAGGCTAAAGTGTCTCTTATTGAGCAGCTGGAATTCACTTCCTAGGTGAGGCTGGACCCCTCCTAAGGAGGAAATGTCTAGCGCTGCCCCCCACACAACACAAACTTTCAGGAAAATTCTTTTCCAGAGTCGAATTTGCAGTGAAGCTTCAGTCTTGTACTCAAGTGGCCAGCCGAAGGTGGGAGAGTGGGGCTCAGCTTGGGAGTGTCTAGATCTCAGGTACTTAAAAGACTGTTTTGTGAGGCTAGGGGATGGGGGAAGACAAGGTCCTGTACTTAAGAACTCCCCTCCAAATGTAAAACCAAGCAAAACCGGGAATGAACAGGAGAGGCATACTGGGTTCATCTTTTAAGTACAGGGCCTCGCAGGCTCAGGTGAGAGATCGGATAGGCGAACTGCTGCTGGGACATACAGAAAGGGTGCTTTAACGGCCCACAGGAAAAGGCTGGGTGAGCAAGGTAAGTGGGAAGAGTTCTCTCCCCCACCAAAATCAAAAAGGTTTTCACTTGTTCTTTGCCACTTAACATACCAGAAGTAAAGCATGATGTAAAGGGTGCTAGAGAAGAGTATTCTGCTCCCTCCTGCCTCCAAACGGAGACAGAGATAACTACTAATAAAAAGAATTCTGCAGCGGTCATCCTGGAACGTAAGCTGGACATTAAGATAAACAGGAACCGTGTCCCCCCATCGAGGTAAGAGCTGAATTTGAGTCCCACTTCATAGATCTCAAAGGTCATAGAACTTGAATTCTTTGGAACCTGGGAGCTGCATTTAAGAATTAGTTTGGAAAAAAAAAAAAAAAGAATTAGTTTGGCTTCCAGTTTTTACTTATCAGGATGGAGGGATCCGATAAATATTTGCAGTTCTTGGGGTTGTGGGGGGAGTGGACAGGAATAGTTTAAGAACTCTCCAACCCTGTATATCCAAGGACCACAAGGATAGATACAGAAAAATAGAACAAAAACTAGTCTGTGACTTTATATTGCCACATCCTGTTCCTTTAAAGCTCAAACCTCCCAGAGTGGGGGAAAGACCTGGCTGAAAAAGCAAGCGTGGCACAAATAAAGTCTTCTTGCCAGACAGCACCCTGTCCCCGCTGCCTCTTTTGGACATAGTGTTCTATATATGCCTCCCGTGGGACGTGTGAGTCCCAGCCTAAAGGTGCCTGACAGAGCGGGCCTTAGGCAGGGTACTCCGGCTCTTCAGGCCACATCCCCAGCCAGTCTAGCTTTTTCTTCAAGGGAAAAGGACAGAGGGGGAAAGAAAGATAAATAGACAAGTTTAACTTTAGTACCTAAGAACACATGAAAGAAATAATTCAAGTTACAGACCAGGTATCCCCAGTGTGGGGAACAGGTCAGAGAACACCAAACAGGTCAAATATTAACTTATTTACCAAATGGGGGGCCAGGGAAGGCAGGTTAAATTTTTATAAATCCTGGAGGTTTTCTACAGGAGCAGAGACCCTTCCATCTGCTCCGCTCTAGATCTGACCAGCTCCTCCGGCTGATGATAGCGCCCAAGAGGGGTATCAGGGTGACTGATGAGAAAATGAGCTTGTACCCCACCTGGAGCTTGGGAAAGGAGAAGGGGCTTTGTCATGCCATTCAAATCACTGTGTTCTGGTCCCTGTGTAACGAATAGCTGCTTGAATTACCCAGCTTCTCCTGGGAGATCCTCCTCCTTTGTTCCAGGGGCCCAGAAGGCTCAGTATACGGCACCGTGCAGCCGCCTCTGCCCCAAGACGCTCCCCAGACTGAGCTGGGACTGGTCTCCTTGGTTCCGTTTACCATTTAAAAAATACTTTTACAAACAATTCTTTCCCACCCACCCCTCCCCCCGACCCCAATAAAATAACATGGGAGTAGCAGCTGCTTCTACAGTTTTGTTTTGAAATGGTGTTAGATAAAATAAGGGAATAAATAGAGAACGGGTAAGAGGCGGACTCTCCATCCCCACGTCACACTGCCAGAGGGAGTTCTAGGGGAGAATCTTCCGGGGGCCTGTCCTCACTCGGCTGGGAGGTTTTCTCCACCACACAGCCCTCTTCATTGTCCGTGCGGAAGGGGAGGCTCGAGGGGGACCACGAGGGGCGGAAGTCTTCATTCTCAGGCTCCTCAGTGCTACAATCTCCGGGCACTAGTGCTTCCAGAGTGGACGTTTTCCCCACTTCGGATTTACACAGGGCAGCTGGGTCTGTGGGGCTACAAGCCACCAGTGAGGTAACAGGGAGGGAGAAGACATTCAGATCCTTCTCCTTGGGGAAAGAGGGTGGGACTTCTTCCATATTGGGCTCTCCTTTCAGCCCCAGGACTGGCCTCTGCTCCACCTGATAATACACCAGGGGCCCGCTGTTCAAATAGGATGGGCTGGTCACTGCTGAGGCAGTGGGGTGGTCGGAGTTCTCAGCAAAACACAGGACCGAGGAGCCTGGGGGCAGCTGAGCCTGGATGAGAATGGGGGCCGTCAGGCCCGGGCACAGCTCTTCGGGAACAGCCAGGGGCTCCTCCAGGATGCACACGCCCAGGCTCTCTATGCTGGAGTCCAGGCTGGCACTAGAGCCGCTGGCGTCTTCCTCTGCCTTGAGCCGCTCGAGTTCCTCTGCGCTCTGTAGGTGCATCACTGCCGTCTCGTTCTCAGCAATGAACTCCTGGAAGTCCTGTGTCTCTGAGCCTTGGGCTCCCGTCAGGCTGCAGCTGGCCGTGGGTGAGGGCTCCTCGTCGGGGGCCGGTGGGCGGCTCACCTGCCGCTTGCTCTCCAGCTCCAGCTTCATGATGGTGTGGAGGTAATGAGTCCGGACCCGGATGGGATTAAATTCAATGCGCCCGGCCATGTTCCCACAGCCATCCCTCGAACAGCCACATGGGAAGGACATGCGGTCCACCTGAGGAGAGGACAAGAAGGTTGAGGGAAGTTGAGACCACCAGACTTAACGATGGAGAGTGGAGACATGAGCTGGCAGCAAACAGGCAGCTGGGATTTGAGGTCTTAAAAGAGGAACCACCAGGAACAAATGTAACGCACAGCGTGACCTAACAGAGCACTACGTGGTAGCTGTCAAGTCGTTTCAGTTCCAGCACAGCCATGAAGTAGCAGTGTGCCCTCAGGAAGTTCCTTTATCTCAGGGGCACCTGGTCACTTAAGCATCCGACTCTTGGGTTTGGGCTCAGGCCATGACTTCAGAGTCGTGGCATCAAGCCCTGCATCAGGCTCCGCGTTCAGCGCAGAGTCTTCTCATTCCTCTCGCTCCCCTTCTCCCCTCTTCTTGTGCTTTCTCAAATACATAAAATCTTAGAGGAGGGAAAAGGGGCTTGGGTGGCCCAGTCGTTAAGTGTCTGCCTTCAGCTCAGGTCATGATCCTGGAGTCCCGGGACTGAGTCCCACATCGGGCTCCCTGCTCAGCAGGAAGTCTGCTTCTCCCTCTCCCACTCGCCCTGCTTGTATTCCCTCTCTTGCTGTCTTTCTGTCAAATAAATGGGTAAAAATCTTAAAAAAAAAAAAAAAAAAAAAAGGTCTTTTATGTCTTTAGGGCTTTGTTTCCTCTACCAAATAAAATGTAGCCAAAAATCATGTTAAAGGGCCTTTCCAGTTAAAAAGTCCAAAGATACCTCTGAATGCTGACAGTTCTCACAGTAGAAGAAATTTTTGTGCCTCAGAGACTTATCCAGAATTCACCTAGTTTATTGAGAAAACAAAGGTCGGGGCCCAAGCCTACTACTTCCTTCTGCAGTGACAAGGAAAGGTAGTGGAAGATCTAGCTGGTCCAAAGCAATATATTCTAGGGAAACTAAGCAAAAGTGCCTTAGTTTTGCTAGGGTGCTATAATGACAGTTCGAACATTAACAATGGCCAGCTTTTTACCACCTGGTTCATCTTTCCCTGATGGTGGACCAGATGAGGTCCAGAGCAGTTAGTAAGGTATGTAATTTACAGACCAGAAATATCTGGAAAGGAGATCCTCTCTGCCTCCTTTATCTCCCTTTTGGACCCCAAAAAGGAAAGAAGCCCACACATACCAAAAAAAAAAAAAAAAAAAAGAGCAAATATACATATACAAATATACAATGTCTTCCTATGATACCAACTTCTAGAACTCTCCATTCCAGTTCTTAGGAGCAGTCCAATTCTTAGGACTATTCTCAGGACTGTATAACAGACTGATTCATTATGGGACTTCAGTCTGAAAAGCAGTATTTGGCCAGATCTGCTACAGCTATTACCTACCTAAAAACAAGAAAGAAAAGGTTCATTAGGATACATTCAACCACAAGGACTCAGCACCCACATCCTCAGTATACAAGTTCCAAATAAATTTCATCCTTTGGGACAGTATTGCTATTTTCAACGGAGATATGCCTTCTAAGCTGTCCCGTCAGGCCAGCTAGGGGATGATGTCTTCCATCTTTTAGGACACTGGACTTAAGCTCTGCCAGGCCAAGTCTGATCCTGAATTACGGGAACCCAAGAATTATTTTGAGTTTTACAAAACTGGAGTAGAGGTCCTGTGAGTGTTTGCAAGAAAAAACCTGAAGGCCCACCTTGTCTCTCTGCTTCCTTTTAGCTCATGAAATCAGTCAATATTTAAGGAACAGCTACTAACATTAAATTTATTAACCCATGTTCCCCCATCTGCTGACAGCTGTTGCTTATCACTTCTGAGGTGAGAAACACAGAAAGATGATTGCGATCTCCCCAGCTTAGGAATCCCGTCATGCTTGGTTTTTTCCCTTGGTGGAGGAGGGCTGTGGGACTAGGGAGTGTTCCCAGTCGTGGGGAATCCACCCACAGACGATGGGCAGCCTCCCATGTTCACTGGTCCCCACACCACCTGCCCCAGACTCTAGGTCTGCCATCTCAGGCAAACTTGTACTGACCTGGCATTTAATCCCAGCCTGACTACAGGCACAGGCTTCTGGGTCACAATACAGGCGACAGTCACAACCACACTCTTCACGTGACAGGCGGATGGCTCGAAGTTCTTGTTTCTCTTCAGCATCAATGCGGTGTACCCCTGAAGCCCTGAGCAAGGCCCGTCGCCGTTTGGTGGGCAGGGGCTGCAGGAAGAAGTAATCGTCCACCTCCACATTTTCCACATCGATATCTTCATCTGAGACATCATCCAGGGTCAGGCCATCAGCCTCCACCGACTCCACCGTCCCATTCTTGGTCAGCTGCCGGGAGACAGGAGGAAGGAAAGGTTAGCCTTAAGAGCAACAGAAGCCGAAGGAACTTTCTGCGATGATGGGCATATCCATGCTGCTCGTAGCACATGTAGCTACTGAGCTCTGTAGATGCGGCCAGCACAAAGCAGAAGGGGAACTTTTAAATTTTATTTCATTTTAATTGAGTATAAATAGCCACATGCGGCTACTCGCTACCACCATATTGGATTGTTTAAGAGAATAAATCGAGAGCAGGAAGGCAGGCAGCCTTCGGCAGCTCTAACACCTCCCTGTCAACACAGAGGCTATCACCTTTCTGGATCAAAGTTTCTCAAAGCCTGTGTCTCACTGTCCCTCCTAGAAGATAGTATTTTCCCACAAATATACCCTCCATCCCCAGCCCTGGGTCCCGTAACTTTAGCGAACTTGCCTTCTAACGACAGGGAGGAGGTCTGCCAATGGCTGGATGTTCCTCGGATATCTAGACAACCTTGCAAGACACCCTTCAGTCTGCACCCCCAAGGACCCAAAACCACAAAGAGCACACTAAAGTGTAGTACAAGGCTACCAGGTCTTCATCAAAGAACCTGAAGCCTCCCCATTTCACTGGGAGGAGAAAAAAAATGACCAATTCAACGGCTATCCAAGCCCTCACTTCCAACCCACAGCCTAGAATACACTCATTCTCCTTCCTAATCCTTTTTATTTGATTTCAAAGAAAAGCTGTAGGTGAAGTAGGGAGGTGTATATAATACTGGGGTACTCTCTAGAGACAGAAATCTGGGTTCTCTGGACTGAGAAAAGACAGGGAACCAGGAAAAGGGAGTCTTCGTGGAAGGACAGGCTGAAGACAATCTGGCCGGGTGAGTTTTGAAAACTCACGCGAGAATTCAAGGAAAGAAAATGAGACTGCATGATTCCCAGAGCTCTGAAAGCTACCAGCAGGATGAGAGCCAAGCTCCTGGAGGGGCCGGTTTATTTCATCAGACCCAGCCACAGATGAGTGCTAGTAAAGGAACAACTCCTGGGAGACAGATGATGCAACAGACCCGGCTAATCAGCTCCACACCTGTTGTGTTTGTTTGGGGGAAAGTGGGGGAGGGGGGACAAACACAGAGGTGCTTCTGGGCATTTCCTGGTCTGTTATTTCTGTGCCAGGCAGACCCATGGTGAGGGGCCCTTCTGCCAACCTTAGGACTGCTCCCCTTGTCTGTTTTGCTGGGGATGGGCTCCTCCTAAGCACCCTCCCTCCTGCTGTCCTCTCCAGGGAGAGAGATTAGAGATGCAATAGGAAGAAACCCACATAGATATAAGAGTTTCATGTAACACAACAGAGGTGGCATTTCAACTCAAGTGAGAGAGAGAGTCCTCTGGTCATTAAATGACATTGGGATAACTGGATATTCTTCTGAAAACTAAGTAAAGCTGGATCTCCAATTCATACTCCCCCAAATAATGACTTCCATGTTAGTAAAAGGCCAGAATTAAAAAAAAAAAAAAAAATAATGGAAGGATTCGAACAATTACACATCATTAAAGCTCCAGAGTACCAGGAGCTTTTTGGGGGGGTAGGGGGTAGGGGAGCGAACAGCCTAAAAAGGAAAGTATTAGATGGCACATGGGAGATGCGAAGGATGTATTTTTTTAGATTAACAGTCTCCCCTGTAGAGTACTAAAGATGGGAAAATTTTCTAAGAAAAGAGAAAACTGGACCCGGGGAGGGCAAAGTAAGGGTTTTCTCTTGACACAGAAAGATTTATCAGTTGCCACACTCGTGCTGTTGTTCACTAAATCAGCTACTAAGTAGGAATCCTACGTCAGACTCGAAGTTGCCTGGCTTTGTCCCTAGACCTCCGACAAGCGAGGCCAGAGAGCAGGACGGAATCGTGCTTTGCCAGGTTATCCCTCGACCAGATCTAGCAGAGAGGTTTCTTCTAGGCAAAGGGAAGAAAAGCCTTCGCTGCAAATGGTGAGAGCAGTGTTTATTTCCCCTGCTGTTGCTATAGCAGCAGAAAGGTGAAAGGGTCAGTGAAGGAATTCCTCAGACACAAGAAAGGGACGCCTCAATGTCGTTCCAGTCAGAAAAACAGGTGGAAGGCTCCGGGAGTGGGCTGTGGGAAGGAGACGTCGCTGACAGAGGGAGACAGGAATGAGATGCCATTAGCCCACATCCTCTGCCCTCAGTTCTCCAACCACCCCATGTTCTGGGATTTCACCCACAACTCTGGAAATAATGCAGCCACCTGTTTGAATATAGGTCCGCATGCTTTGGGCCCACAAGAAACTTGGCCAGGCGGAGAGCAGTGTTCTCCAAATTTGGAACTAGGAACTCGGGGTGGGGGTGGGGGGAGGGGAGTTGTTGCGGCCTGGTGGAAAGTACGGCTGCGGAGGGCCAAGCAGTGCCAAGAGCAACTGGGCGGCTGTAAAGAGCCATCCTGTATGAAATGGGTCTTCTTCCAGCCCCGCTCTCCTCCTAAACTCGAAGAGCGGGTGTGGCATCCAATGGCAGGCCCAGTACCGTACAAACTGAAACAGCTGTGTGGTAATGCCGTTGCTTACACCCAAAAGACCATCACCTAGAGGGGACGGAGGTTTCAGAAACAGCCGGGTCTACTGGAGAAAGCCTGTTCTATGCACTGGGACAACACATAGTCATCTGACAAGAAAGTGAAACAATGTGCTTCCTCAGGTTCCCGGGGTGGCAGACTTGAATGTTTTCAGGTATTCACACCTTAAACTTGTAAAAAAATTTTGCTGAGGGGGCAAGGGTAGGAAATTCTAGGCAAGCCATTTTGCTATCTTGTGTAGACTCCCCACCAGAGACAGAAAGAATGGTGTCTCAGACTGAGATTTGGTTCCAAATCTGAGACTTCTCACTAGAAAGATCTGGAATCTCTACATGCCAAGGGCAATAGACAAATTAAATAATCAAGAGACCTAGATGGTTTCCCACTTTTGTCTTGGCACATGGTTAAGTAACCAGACCCCGGATCCCAGACCCCTTTAGGCACCTTCATCTTCTTGGCATGGAGTTTCTCCTCCTTCAGATGCTCACGAAGAATCTCCCGATGGTTCACCTCCTGCTCCTGAGCAAACTCACAGAGCGTGTAGCTGCGCACAGAGTTATGGCGCTGGGCCATGCCCAGCGAGCTCCCTCCCTGGCTGGGCACACTGGTGAAACCCTGGCGCCGGGCAAAGTAGTATACGGTCACCTGGTCAAAGCGGACATTCTTCCTCCGCAGTTGCTTCTGTCGCTTGAGGATGGATGTGGCTGAGAAGGGAGCACAGAGCGGTTTTACCAACCCCAAAACGGCCTGCCTGAGGCCCTCATTCTTTCTCATCAGCCTAGCTGCTCAGTTATTGTCCAAAGTGCTCTCTGTGCCTCGAGACACTTCTAATCTTCCCGTCATAAATGCACGGTTGGGAGAGACCCTGAACATCGGCTGGTCTGTACCACTGCCTCCAGGCTGACCCCAAGAGCTAATTCTGGACATTAGCTGGGAAGAGGATCTCTAGGTAATCTTTTCAGGCTCTAACAATCTATACGGCTTCACTGTCCAATGCAACAACTACCAGCCACACGGGGCAATTGAAAGTAGTAATTAAAAAACAAACAAACAAAACCCCAAAAACCTAAATTCAGCTCCTCAGTTACACTAATCACATTTCAAGTGCTCAGAGCTACATATGGCTAATGGCTACCATACTGGGCACTGCAGATATAGAACACTTGTATCATAACAGAAAATTCTATTGGACAGTGTTATCTAGAGCTGGGGATGGTGTACTACTTCTTTAAGGGGCCGGACAGTAAATACCATAAGGTCTCTGCTACAGCTACTCAACTCTGCCACTGTGACATGAAAGCAATTACAATGTGTGTGGCTGTGTGCCAACAAAACTTTATTTACAAAAATGGGCAGGGGCACCTGGATGGCTCAGTGGGTTAAGCCTCTGCCTTTGGCTCAGGTCATGATCCCGGGGTCCTGGGATGGAGCCCCGCATCGGGCTCTCTGCTCAGCAGGGAGCCTGCTTACTCCTCTCTCTCTGCCTGCCTCTCTGCCTATGTGATCTCTGTCTGTCAAATAAATAAATAAAATGCTTTAAAAAAAAAAATGGGCAGAGGGTCAGATCTGGTCCATAGGTAACCTCTGATCTATAGAATCAGAAGTTCTTTCCAAGAAATTAATGGAGCCATGAGAATGGGGAAATCCGGAGCTGCCCCAGTTGTCCAGGCAACATGTATGTCCTTCTAGAGCTACAACTGTGTGGGACTCCGGTCAGTTAAGGGTAGAATCCTGGACTACTTCTTCAATTTAATTCTGCCCGTTCTGAGGACCTATAAACCACAGCATAGGAAAAATAAGCTAGAATAAGTTAGACCTAAGTCTACGATATTAGAGCAATAAAGTCCTCCGAAGAGTAGGGTTGGGCTAAGAATGGAAAAGACCATGATTCGGGGAAAAGCCCCCTGCCGGAGAGAAGAAGCTGTCTCAAGGACTGCAGTGGGCTCTGATGCTCAGAGGACGTGGGTGGAGGCCGGGGGCGGCGGGGCTCACTCACGTGTGAAGCCGGCAGCTGTAGGAGGATTGAGGCTGTCGCAGCTGTCAGCACTGTCACTGCTGGAGATCTCGTCATCTGAGTTGGAAACCGAAGAGCCCACATCCACATCATCAAACTTCCTCTTGAGACTCGAGCCCGTGAATGCATCCATTGGTTTCAAAGGGGTTTCCTTGGGGAGCCCACCACGTTGGCCCCAAAGGCCCTGCTCACCACCGGTTAGTCAGGCGCATTAGGATTCTGCCCAGGGGAAAAGGGGAATCAGCATTCCTTTTCTGAGCCGGACCCCTCCCAAGTCTATACACACAGCTCTCCAAATGAAGAAAGTAAGTCCCTAAGCTAGCGCTGATGTCTGGTCTCTCGAGACAAGGTCATTTCTCTACTTATTCTGGCCAACGTTTTCCTACTTTTATTTCCCTTCAGCCCCTCCAGTCTCAGTTGCTCTAAAATAATGAGATGAGTAACAGCGGCACCTTTCTCAGCAGAGTGAAGGCCTCTGGTTCCAAGCCAGCTGGGCTCTGGGTTTCATTAGCCCGGGAATAACGGGAGCGGCTCCTGCGCGCACTCAGGAGAGCTCTCCAAGGGGCCAGCACGAGGGACTGAAGATCACACGCAGAATGAGGCTGGGCTCAAACTCAGACTAGATCCAATTATTTTTCCTAGTGAAAATTTAGCCTGGCTTTTCCCAAAGTGTATACATTAAATCAACTAGTTCCATGGATATTAATAGCTTTACGTGGAAATAGGACCGCTGTGTCCAAATAGTTTAGAAGAGTGCTTACGACAGGACAGCTTGGAGGCTTTTACTATGCTAACGAGCGTGGTGAAGGGTGAGAGCAAACATAGTGCAGGGGTCCCCACACCGGATCATGGAACCCTCTGTTTCCAGAGTGTCTCACGGGGGGTGGGCAAGTGATTCTTGGAACACACTTTGGGAAATCCTGCTCTAGGCTCTGGAGTTCAGAGTTTATCAGAAGCCCAGGAAAACACTTACACCCAGATCTTCACAAGGGTAAAGTTTCTCATCAGGCTGCTAGAAAGGTCAAATTCCGTTCTGAAGAATGGACTGAAGATTAGAATCGGCACTGCCTTCAAAAGCCCAACTCTTTTCCAATCTCATACATCTCCATAAAATAGGGCCCAGCTGGCCAACCACCATCCCCTGTGCGAGGAAAACTTAGCTTTACCATCTTAGCCCTCTGTAAAGAAGCCAGCACGGGGAAAACAAATAGCAAAAGAGTGACAGTTGGCTCTGGTGTCGTCAACATGGTAGGCAGGGTTTTTGACACGTCACGCACACACAGAGTCCAGGATGGTCCATCTCCCAGGGACAAAGCTTTCTCCTCCTCCGTCTTTGAACTTAAGTTCCCAAGAAGATGAATCTGCCTGACAGAAATGCTGTCAGAGCCGGAGCCACACGTGATGCTACGAAGCCTCCCTGCTTTGCCTCAGTAATGTCAGAATCTCCCCAGACTATGATCTCACTAGTTGCTAATTATGCAGCAGGAATAACACTGCCCAGGAAGACAGGGCTGCATTACTGCAGAGCAGCTACCCAGAATACACCGTGGTGCTGCGAGATGCCTGCTACAGACTCAACCAGACCTAGTAGGTACTCGAGCGAAGACACTTCCTGATCTATCTGTCCAGATCCCATGAACATTCACACTCGAATCACAAGATGTACCTAAGAAACCTCAGCCATCGTAGGTCTCGGACAAGCACATTCTTGAAATAAATTTGGCCGGGGTGGGGGGGATCAAGTACTTGCTAAGAACTGTAATTAAATGTAAAAAGGAACCCAAGGTGTCAATTCTGTTCTTCAGGTTACTCATCTTACCATTGGAGGTCACATTCCCAGGACATATAAAAATAGAGCCAAGGACCTTTTAATGTGGTAAGATTTCGGCTGGGCTTAAAGATACCTTTTTTTAAATTTTTTTAAGATTTTATTTATTTATTTGATAGAGACACAGTGAGAGAGGGAACACAAGCAGGGGGAATGGGAGAGGGAGAAGCAGGCTTCCCACCGAGCAGGGAGCCTGATGCGGGGCTTGATCCCAGGACCCTGGGATCATGACCCAAGCCGAAGGCAGCTGCCCAGCAACTGAGCCACCCAGGCGCCCCTTAAAGATACCTCTTAACTAATAAATCCCCATCCATTCGAGGATGGGGGGGGGTGGTAATCTTTCAAATTGAGAATTTATGTGGGTGGGATAAAAAAAAAAAGAGAGAGTTGGGGCGCCTGCGTGGCTCAGTGGGTTAAGCCTCTGACTTCGGCTGGGATTGGCCCTGGCCCTGGCCCTGCACCGTAGGCCCTGCGTCGGGCTTTCTGCTCAGTAGGGAGCCTGCTTACCCCTTCCGCCTGCCTTTCTGCCTACTTGTGATCTCTCTCTCTCTGTCAACAGATAAATAAAATATTTTTTAAAAAAAGAGAGAGAGAATAATGTTGAAAACCGAACTGAATTTTTCCTCCCCACTTAAAAACCTTATCAACCAGATGAAAACTCAGACTGCGCAGAAAAATCTGCTTTCTCAGAAAGGGCCTAAGACCAGCTCTAGTTTTCAACGAGATGTCTAGTGTTGCTATGGGGAAAGTGGCTTCTTCCTCGGCCTGGAAGCAGATGTGCAGTCCTGTTCTTTCCTCCAGCGTCTCTTTGCTTCCAGGAGTGTGGCTTCCCTTTGACTATTTCTCTTTATGCCCTGCATGAGGCTGGGTTTGGTCCAAAATCATCTTTATTATTAAAATTCTGTCTCAACCCAGCTGCCCTCAGGGGTATCACTTCCTCTGGTGCAGCAAGGATTGCTGGCTCTTTGTTCCACTCTCCTTTGCCCTTTTCTCTATGTCTTTCCCACTTCCACTCCTGGAATAGTGGCTTCTGGGCAATGATAAGAGGGAGGTAAGAAAGAGGGGAGAAAAAAGAAAGTAGAAAGAAAGAGAAGATGTGAAACCTAGGAGAAAGGTATTTTCCTTAAAATGCTGGGGGATCATCTGAACCCCTGGCTATGTAGGTAAGTAATGTGCATACTGAGTGAGCTCTCCTCACCCTACCCAGGACCGCTCTGCATCACTCTCTCTGACATTTACTCCACTATATATATAATCCATTGATTCTCTCCTGACAACCAGTATAAATTTAAATTTCAACTCAGCCTTCCTTGCCCAACTCTGGTGTGAACTTGACTTGTCAGAAAAAGATACTCGGTTGCGCACCAAAAACAAACCTCCCATCCATTTCCACAGTGGCCTGAAGAGACCTCTCTTTGCAATGGAAACAACCAGAATAGGTCCCACACTTTCCAGTTCATTAGATCAACCTCTTTTCAAACCACACCTCGAAATCAGTCATTCCCACCTCTCTCAACCATTCACTGGCAGAGGATCGATGTCTGTGTTCAAGAGAAACACTTGTGATTTATACTCCAAGCACCTAAACCCATACAGAAATAATGAAGGTGAGACTGGAAATGCAGGCCATAACTGACAAGTTAACTGTCAAAATGACCAACTCAAACAACAAATGCTTTTGGGGAAAATAATGCAAACCCCCATAAAAGCTTTTTAATGCCAGTGAAATGAAAGGTCAGCTGACTTTCTGGCTACATGCCTTATGGTCTTTTCTCAAGTGTTTCTAGTTGAATATTTCCCAGAGGTATATGAAATAAAGCATACCTACAGGGTACAGAAGATACGACGCTAGTACCAAGTAAAGATCTATAGCGTACGTGCATTTTAGTACTAGATCTAAGCCTTTTCAGGCCTGTAGGATTCCTATCACAACCTCCCCAAAACAGAAAACAAAACAATACAGCTTATGTGAGACTAGCAAAAGAGGGACTGCCCAGGAAAAATTCTCTGGATTCAACATGTATTTGCAAAGGTTAGGTAACAAAAGCCTCTCTCTTGAGTATAAAATAATAATATAAGGTATATCTCACAGGAGAAAGCCTCTTCACGCCATTGGAACCCAACCTCCTGCTAAAGGTCAAGGGACCAAAATCTCTGGTAGGATTGTCGGGGTTATCTTCTGTAGCTGGGTTAGAAGGAAGGCAGGTTTACTGCCAAGTGTTTGCATAAACCTGAGTAAGATAACCTGACCTCTTTCTTCTTTTACAAGATATTGCTGTTGATTTTCAAATACTATGAATTTCATAGATCCATGTGTCCTTCTGATTACCAGGATCATGAACTTATAAAGTGCTTGAGTGCAAACATACTGTTTAAACTAGGTATTTTAAGGAAGTCCACCTCTAGCCCTCACTGTTTTATGTTTTTGTTTTTTTTTTTACCCATTCACTACCACAAGGTTAGAATTTGGCTTTCCACGTCTAAACTACCATGGTATGGAGGACACAAGATCTCTGTGGGAGACCCGGAACATGATGCTGCGGGAACCATTAACTCTCAAGGATATCTAGTCATTTATAACTCTGGCACACACCAACATCCTCCTGGGTTTGGAGATTAGCAAGATGTAACGTCAGAAAAGAAATGAAAATCTGAATAAACTATGAATTTACCTTAAACTGAAAACTGCAGGACAAGAGGACACTGTGTCTCTTGGGGATAACTTCTAACATTTCATATTGAAGAACGGTTTGTGTGTCACACTGCCACTCTAACCCCTTTAAAAGGATAAATCAAGACCATGGCACTAAAAGGGATGGATGGCAGTCAGTTGCGTGTTTGGGCCTGTGGAAAATGATCAAGATAGCAGCCAGGGCAAGTGATGCTTTCGTTTTCCCCCACAACGCTAGAAAAATGGGAGACATCAGGAACCTGAGCCGAAAGGACATGTCAAGGCATCAGTTCCCTTTAATGGACACCCCTACTGAACCCTTCAGCTCCCGGCCCATTTCTCTGATTCCTGCTAACCTTCCCGCTCATTTCAATCGTCTGCAGCCCCTGCCCAGTCTTCCTCATCCCTTCCTGCCTGCTACTCACAAATTCCCAACCACTCCTCCCACATTTTCCTCTATCCGCCCTCCCCTTCCTTCACTTCCCTCCATCCTACATCATCTCCACTCCATTCCGAACTCAACCCTCATCCGCAATCCTGCCAGCTTCCAAGCCGCCCATCGGTCTCCCCCAAGCTGCCCCCGCAGTCCGGGCCCGCGTCCTCCGTGCCCCTAGCTCCCACGCCTCTCCCGACTCTTTCCTTTCCCAGCGGCGCCCTGGCTCCCCGCCCCCCGACCGCTCCCGTCCGAGCCTCCCTCATTTCTGACCCCTCCATCCGCGCAGCTCTGGGTTGACCACTCCTCCACAGCCGCCCGAGGGCCGATCCCGAGAAAGGATGAGGCGGCACCCTCCGCCCCGCACCCCCAGGCCCATTACCGGCCCCGCCGCAGCTGCCTCCTCCCGTGATGGTCTCTGCCGCCCCCGCTGCCGCCGCCGCCGCCGCCCTAGCCCGGGTGGGAAGGAGAGAGGAGATAGCGAGTCCCGGGCCCGCGGCGACGGTCGGGGAGTTCCCAGGGCGGCAGGGCTGGGAGGGAGGGCGGGTGGGCAGGTCGGCCGGCAGGCGGTGGAGGGCGGGCAGCTCCAGCAACTCGGGCGCCCCCGGTAGCAGACGCCCAGAACCGCCCCGGCTCGGGCTAACAATAGGCTCCGGCCGCAGCGCTCTGGTTCTTATAGGCGCCGGCACGTCCGGACCGAGCCCCGGGGCAGGCTGGGAAATGGAGTCTACGTGCCAGCCCCACCCCCGCGGCATGCCGGGAATTGGAGGCGGAGACCGGCGCAGAGCCGAAAGTCGCCCGCAGACCGGCTCTGGAGGCGGGGTCTCTGCTGCAGTGGAACCTGGGAAAGCGAGTTTGGCGCCGCTGCAGCCCTTAGAACAGGAAGGGGGACAGCCTCAGCCACATATCTTCAATGACTAAACGAATCTACCTCTAAAACTCCCCCTTTTCCTTTCGCCAGGACCACATTCCCATACCTAAAGACCACGGTCCCCCTTATGCTCGCCCGTGGGAGCTTAGTCTTAAGCAGCATGACATGCTGCAACCTGCCTAAGGTATAGAAAAGAAAATACAATGTATTGAGTTACCGCGATACGGATTGATTGGTTGATGTGTTTTCTATCAAAAATAGCTTTACATGATCTCTGATCTTAACAACTTTGCAACTCATTTTTAAGATGGGAAAAACGAAGACTCGGAAGTCAGAAGTTCTATGTCATTTGCCAAGGACACCCATCCTTGGCTTCTGGCCTCACTCAGAATAGGAGCATACGGCTCTTCTTTGACTTATAAGGCCCTATCACATATAAGTAGGTACATTCCCTCTCCCTAACAGCCTCATCACCCCCCATCCTGTCATCCATCTTGTTTCCTTCTACTTTTCCCCTCCTGTACTCTGTTTTAACTACATCGGCCCATTGACCTCCCTGCAGTTCCTTCAACGATCGTGCTCTCACCTCAGGGCCTTTTCCCTAAAACACTTTCCCTAGCAGGCCACATACCTACTCCTTAATTATTTGCTCAAATGTCCCCATATCAGACTTTCTTTAACCATTTTTCTATAATGGTGCTTCCCCTTAGTCTCTATCCCGCTGGCTTCTATTTCTTCTTAGCATTTACCACCTGATTGATGTATATTTTTCAGTCTTCTCTCACTTGACTAAATTCCATGAGAGCAAGGAATTGCTTTGTTTACTGTATCATGAGCACCCCCTACAAAGCCTGGTATTTGATATTTAGGAACTCACTAGGTATTCACTGGATATTTATTGGATGGGTGGCAGGACTTAAACTCAGGTTAGGCTGGTTCCATAGCCTAGTGCATTTTTCACTGCAACCAAGAACTATAGAGCCAGATCTGCTGGCTACCAAGCCATCTCAGTTTTAGAACTGAGAACTTGGCTAGTTTGGACAAAATACCAAAGATTCCAATCCTCTCACCTAGGTGACATCAGAGGCTCTATGAGGCCAGGAA